TCCTTTGACCACACCCGGGCATCGATCAGCCTCCCATTATATCTGTACCATATGGAGATTCCCCCGGTACAGCTATTAAAGGCTTCACGAACTACGTGGTCAAAATAGATGTTAAATAATGTGGGAGCCAGAGGACATCCCCGTCGCACCCCAAGGTGTACAGGGAATGGCTCTGACTCCCGGCCACGTAGTTTTACCCGGGCCCGCTCACCATCATGAAGGTCCTTAATGATCGTGAGCAGAGGGTCAGGTACTCCAAAAGCACGAAGAACAACCCAGAGCCCAGGCCTACTGATGGTATCATAGGCCTTGACCAGGTCAATAAAGCAGAGATGTAGGTCGTGTTGGAATTCCCTACACCTCTGCTGTAGCAGACGGACAGAAAATATGGCATCTGTGCAGGACCGCCCTTTCCTGAAACCGCATTGGGGCTCCGCAAGCCTCTCCTCAGCGTGCCTGGCAAGGCGATGTTGAATAATCCTTGCAGGACATTTCCCGGCACACTGAGGAGTGAGATGCCCCTGTAGTTGTTACAGTCTGTGCAGTGACACACACAGTGACACAACAACAACAACAACAACCGCCATTCGCCACTAAGTGGCGGTGACGTCACCACGACGCTTGTGCCAGGCTATGTGCACCCTGAGGCCACGTGAAGTGTCGAACGCCCGCTGGCGGGAGGTCACGGGGCAGACCCAGGTGCCACGGGTCGACTGACTGAGATGACTGGCTGATGCACCACCTGTCCCCCCTACTGTGCCAACCTGCTGTGCTTTAAGCCACCCGGCGCTCCGCTCGTTGTTCTGAGCGTTGCTCCTCTGCCCTCCGTTGTTGTTGGAGGGCGACTACCTCCAACTGCCCAGTAGCGTCCTTCACGAGCCTCCTCCACAGAGGCCGATCTTGACACCGCTGGTACCAGTCATCGGCAAGTCCACTCAGCTCCACGTCCTCCTGTACCACATCACTCAATCTCTTCTCTAGCCCGTGCCGCGCCCGCTTAGCCCCCTCAATCCGGCCGAACAAAAGCTGTTTGGGCATGCGGTGGCTGGGCATGCGGGCTACATGACCCAGCCATCGCAGCCTTCCCCGCCGGAGGAGCTCACCGATGGGACCTTGCCCAGATCTTTCAAGGATTTTTGAGCTCCTCACACAATCCAGTCTGGTTAAACCCAGGATGTATCGTAGGCAGGCCAGCCTAAATGTTTCTAACCGGCGAAGATGTTCCATTAGGGGGGGTCCACGTTTCGCAAGCGTAGAGAAGGGAGGGAATTACCGTGGCCGAGAAGACCTGAAGCTTAGTGCGGAGCGACAGACCAGGTAGCTTCCACACAGCGTTACGCAACCAATGAAAAGATATTGCCGCTCGACTGATTCGGAGTAAGACCTCTGCTGTTAAACTGGAGCCAGTCATAAGCACACTGCCCAGGTATGGGAAACTCTCCACTCTCTCCACAACTGCCCCATCACCGATTGGGAGTTGTGGGGGTGGAGTGTCCGATGGTACAAAATACCCAGGCAGGTGCTTAGTTTTGGTGGGGATGATGGTAAGGCCCCACCTGTTAGTGGCACGCTCCAGTCTCAGCAGCAGCGTCTCCAACTCCTCCTCCGAATGTGCAGCTATTACCAAATCATCAGCATACATAATGTGGTTGAGCAATAGGAAGCCATCCCTTGACCGCATCCGGGCGTCGATCAGCCTCCCATTATATCTGTACCATATGGAGATTCCCCCGGTACAGCTATTGAAGGCTTCACGAACTACGTGGTCAAAATAGATGTTAAATAATGTGGGAGCCAGAGGACATCCCTGTCGCACCCCAAGGTGTACAGGGAATGGCTCTGACTCCCGGCCACGTAGTTTTACCCGGGCCCGCTCACCATCATGAAGGTCCTTAATGATCGTGAGCAGAGGGTCAGGTACTCCAAAAGCACGAAGAACAACCCAGAGCCCAGGCCTACTGATGGTATCATAGGCCTTGACCAGGTCAATAAAGCAGAGATGTAGGTCGTGTTCGAATTCCCTACACCTCTACTGTAGCAGACGGACAGAAAATATGGCATCTGTGCAGGACCGCCCATTCCTGAAACCGCATTGGGGCTCCGCAAGCCTCTCCTCAGCGTGCCTGGCAAGGCGATGTTGAATAATCCTTGCCAGGACCTTTCCCGGCACACTGAGCAGTGAGATGCCCCTGTAGTTGTTACAGTCTGTGCGGTCCCCCTTCTTAAAAAGGGGGACCACCAGGGCATCCTTTCAATCCTGCGGAACCCGTCCAGTGGTCCAGACTGTTGTTATGATGTCATATAGGGCAGTCTGTGCACAAACGCCGCCCTCCCTCAGCATTTCGCTTGGGAGATCATCTCTGCCCGCTGCATTTCCTGGTTTCAGACTCTGGATCGCCTTCAGTACTTCCTCAACAGATGGCACCTCAGCCAGCCACTCACAGGGGGTGACTTACAATATTTGAGGCACCGCAGCCTCAGCAGGGTCATCCTCACTTTGTGCCACGATGTTTTCCTGGCTGAGGGATTTTCCCTCCCCCAGGACCTCACAGAAATGCTCAGAAAATCTGCAAACCTGTTCCTGGGGGTCGGAGATTGGGTCACCGTTTTTTCCCCTAATGATGGTAATAGGTGTGGCACTGCAGGTTACTTTTTTGATGGAGTCAAATAGAGATTTGTGATCACGGGCCACTGAGGAAGACTCCATCTCCTCAGCAACCCGCGACCACCACCCATCCTTGCAGTGCCTCACGGCTCTCCGTCACACACACAGTGACACATACACACAAAGTGACACACACATACACAGTGACATACACACACAGTGACACACACAGTGACACACACACACAGTGACACACAGTGACACACAGTGACACACACAGTGACACAAAAGACAAAGATCCCCCATATAGCCTTAACAGACTGTAGGGGCAAGTGCTGTTAGCGAGCACCTATGAAGGCCGGAACGGTACACGCGGGGGTGGGTGGCCAGCACCACGCCCGACCGCCTTTGTCTCCCTAGTGGCAATGTTTACACACCGCACCAGGTACTCATTTGAAGCTGTGTCGACCTAGGGGAGGCCCGGGACCGGTTCAGATAATCGTCACTGGTGTTGGCCGTGAGCGGGATTCGAACCCGGGTCGCCAGGTTCATAGCGCAGCGCGCTAACCGCTACACTATCGCTCCCCACTACACAGTGACACACACACACACACAGTGACACACACACACACACAGTGACACACACAGTGACACACACATACACAGTGACACACACACACAGTGACACACACACACACAGTGACACACACACACAGTGACACACAGTCACACACACACCCAGTGGCACACACACACACACAGTGACACACACACACACACACAGTGACACACACACACAGTCACACACACAGTAAAACACACACACAGTGACACACACACACACACAGTGACACACACACACACAGTGACACACACAGTGACACACACACAGTGACACACACACAGTGACACACACACAAACAGTGACACACACACAAACAGTGACACACACACACTCACCCACCCACTCACTCACTCACCCACTCACTCACTCACTCACCCACTCACCAACTCACTCACCCTCTCACCCACTCACTCACCCTCTCACCCACTCACTCACCCACTCACTCACCCACTCACCCACTCACTCACTCACCCACTCACCAACTCACTCACCCTCTCACCCACTCACTCACCCTCTCACCCACTCACTCACCCACTCACTCACCCACTCACCCACTCACTCACCCTCTCACCCACTCACTCACCCACTCACTCACCCACACACTCACCCACCCACCCACCCACCCACTCACTCACTCACCCACTCACCCACTCACCCACTCACTCACCACTCACCCACTCACTCACTCACCCACCCACTCACCCACTCACCCACTCACTCACTCACTCACCCACTCACCCACTCACCCACTCACTCACCCACCCACTCACTCACTCACTCACCCACTCACCCACTCACTCACCCAACCACTCACTCACTCACTCACCCACCCACTCACCCACTCACTCACTCACCCACTCACTCACCCACTCACCCACCCACTCACTCACCTTCTCACTCACTCACTCACCCACTCACCCACCCACTCACTCACCTTCTCACTCACTCACTCACCCACCCACTCACTCACCCACTCACTCACTCACTCACCCACTCACTCACTCACTCACCCACTCACTCACCCACTCACCCACCCACTCACCCACCCACTCACTCACTCACTCACCCACTCACTCACCCACTCACCCACCCACTCACTCACTCACCCACTCACACACTCACTCACCCACTCACACACTCACTCACCCACTCACTCACTCACCCACTCACTCACCCACCCACTCACTCACCCACTCACTCACCCACTCACCCACTCACCCACTCACCCACTCACTCACCCACTCACCCACTCACTCACTCACTCACCCACTCACTCACCCACTCACTCACTCACTCACCCACCCACTCACTCACCCACCCACTCACTCACCCACTCACTCACTCACTCACCCACCCACCCACTCACTCACTCACCCACCCACTCACTCACTCACTCACCCACCCACTCATTCACTCACCCACCCACTCACTCACCCTCTCACCAGGCATCTTGATGGTTGGTGTCGCTCTCCTCCGGCCCCAGCGTTGAGTTGAGGTCGATCAGGTCGACTCCTTCCAGGTACAGTCGCCCTCCCTCACCACCACCACCACCATCACCACCACCGTCATCATCACCACCACCATCATCACCACCACCATCATCACCACCATCACTACCAGCACCATCACCATCATCACCACCACCACCATCACCACCATCACCAGCATCATCATCACCACCATCACCACCATCACCACCATCACCACCATCACCATCATCACCACCACCACCACCACCATCACCACCACCATCACCACCACCACCATCACCACCACCATCACCACCATCACCATCACCACCACCACCATCACCACCATCACCATCACCACCATCACCATGATCACGATCGTCTTCAGAAGCAGCGATGCTCACGGTCCAGCGCTGCCCCTGTCATGTAGCACAGAGACACAGAGACACAGTGACACAGTGACACAGAGACACAGTGACACAGAGGCACAGTGACACAGAGACACAGTGACACAGTGACACAGACACACAGTGACACATAGACACAGTCACACAGAGACACAGAGACACAGAGACACAGAGACACAGTGACACAGTGACACAGTGACACAGAGACACAGTGACACAGTAGCACAGAGACACAGAGACACAGTGACACAGTGACACAGACACACAGAGACATAGAGACACAGAGACACAGAGACACACAGAGACACAGTGACACAGAGACACAGAGACACAGAGACACAGTGACACAGTGACACAGAGACACAGTGACACAGTAGCACAGAGACACAGAGACACAGTGACACAGTGACACAGACACACAGAGACATAGAGACACAGAGACACAGAGACACACAGAGACACAGTGACACAGAGACACAGAGACACAGAGACACAGAGACACAGTGACACAGTGACACAGAGGCACAGTGACACAGAGACACAGTGACACAGTGACACAGAGACACAGTGACACAGAGACACAGTGAGACACAGAGACACAGAGACACAGTGACACGGAGACACAGAGACACAGTGACACAGTGACACAGAGACACAGTGACACAGTGACACAGAGACACAGAGACACAGTGACACAGAGACACAGTGACACAGTGACACATAGACACAGAGACACAGTGACACATAGACACAGAGACACAGAGACACAGAGACACATAGACACAGTCACACAGAGACACAGAGACACAGAGACACAGTGACATAGAGACACAGTGACACAGAGACACAGTGACACACAGTGACACAGAGACACAGAGACACAGTGACACAGAGACACAGTGACACACAGTGACACAGAGACACAGTGACACAGTGACACAGAGACACAGTGACACAGAGACACAGAGACACAGTGACACAGAGACACAGAGACACAGTGACACAGTGACACAGAGACACAGAGACACAGTGACACAGAGACACAGTGACACAGAGACACAGTGACACAGTGACACAGTGACACAGTGACACATAGACACAGAGACACAGTGACACATAGACACAGAGACACAGAGACACAGAGACACAGTGACACATAGACACAGTCACACAGAGACACAGAGACACAGAGACACAGTGACATAGAGACACAGTGACACAGAGACACAGTGACACACAGTGACACAGAGACACAGAGACACAGTGACACAGAGACACAGTGACACACAGTGACACAGAGACACAGTGACACAGTGACACAGAGACACAGTGACACAGAGACACAGAGACACAGTGACACAGAGACACAGAGACACAGTGACACAGTGACACAGAGACACAGAGACACAGTGACACAGAGACACAGTGACACAGAGACACAGTGACACAGTGACACAGTGACACAGAGACACAGAGACACAGGGACACAGAGACACAGTGACACAGAGACACAGAGACAAAGAGACACAGTGACACAGAGACACAGTGACACAGTCACACAGAGACACAGTGACACAGTGACACAGAGACACAGTCACACAGAGACACAGTGACACACAGTGACACAGAGACACAGAGACACAGTGACACAGAGACACAGTGACACAGAGACACAGAGACACAGAGACACAGTGACACATAGACACAGTCACACAGAGACACAGAGACACAGTGACATAGAGACACAGTGACACAGAGACACAGTGACACACAGTGACACAGAGACACAGAGACACAGTGACACAGAGACACAGTGACACACAGTGACACAGAGACACAGTGACACAGTGACACAGAGACACAGTGACACAGAGACACAGAGACACAGTGACACAGAGACACAGAGACACAGTGACACAGTGACACAGAGACACAGAGACACAGTGACACAGAGACACAGTGACACAGAGACACAGAGACACAGTGACACAGTGACACAGAGACACAGTGACACAGGGACACAGAGACACAGTGACACAGTGACACAGAGACACAGAGACACAGAGACAAAGAGACACAGTCACACAGAGACACAGTCACACAGAGACACAGTGACACAGTGACACAGAGACACAGTCACACAGAGACACAGTGACACACAGTGACACAGAGACACAGAGACACAGTGACACAGAGACACAGAGACAAAGAGACACAGTGACACAGAGACACAGTGACACAGTCACACAGAGACACAGTGACACAGTAGCACAGAGACACAGAGACACAGTGACACAGTGACACAGACACACAGAGACATAGAGACACAGAGACACAGAGACACACAGAGACACAGTGACACAGAGACACAGAGACACAGAGACACAGAGACACAGAGAGACAGAGACACAGTAGCACAGAGACAGAGAAACAGAGACACAGAGACACACATAGACAGAGTGACACAGTGACACAGAGACACAGAGACACAGTGACACAGTGACACAGAGACACAGTGACACACAGTGACACAGAGACACAGTGACACAGAGACACAGAGACACAGTGACACAGAGACACAGTGACACAGAGACACAGTGACACACAGTGACACAGAGACACAGAGACACAGTGACACAGAGACACAGTGACACACAGTGACACAGAGACACAGTGACAGTGACACAGAGACACAGTGACACAGAGACACAGAGACACAGTCACACAGTGACACAGTGACACAGAGACACATTGACACAATACAGCCCACTGCTGATGTTGGTGGTGGTGATGGTGGTGGTGGTGATGATGGTGGTGATGATGATGGTGGTGGTGATGCTGGTAGTGATGATGGTGGTGATGATGGTGGTGATGGTGGTGGTGGTAGTAATGATGGTGGTGATGATGATGGTGGTGGTGATGATGGTGGTGATGGTGGTGGTGATGATGGTGATGATGATGGTGGTGGTGATGGTGGTAGTGATGATGGTGTTGGTGGTGGTGATGGTGGTGGTGATGATGGTGGTGATGGTGGTGGTGGTAGTGATGATGGTGGTGGTGGTGATGGTGATGATGGTGGTGATGGTGGTGATGGTGGTAGTGATGATGGTGGTGATGGTGGTTGTGATGGTGGTGATGATGATGGTGGTGGTAGTGGTGATGTTGGTAGTGATGATAGTGGTGATGATGGTACTGGTGATGGTGGTGGTGATGATGATGGTGGTGGTGATGGTGGTGATGGTGGTGGTGATGGTGGTGGTGGTGATGGTGGTGGTGGTGATGGTGGTGGTGATAGTGGTGGTGGTGATGGTGGTAGTGATGATGGTGGTGATGATGGTGGTGGTGGTGATGATGGTAGTGGTAATGGTGGTTATGATGATGGTGGTGGTGATGATGGTGGTGATGGTGGTGGTGATGGTGGTGATGATGATGGTGGTGGTGATGGTGGTGATGGTGGTGGTGGTGGTGGTGATGGTGGTGGTGGTGATGGTGGTGATGATAGTGGTGGTGGTGATGGTGGTGGTGATGATGGTGGTGGTAGTGATAGTGATGGTGGTGATGGTGGTGACAGTGTTGACGATGGTGGTGATGGTGGTGATGGTGGTGATGATGATGGTGGTGGTGATGGTGGTGGTGGTGGTGATGGTCGTGATGGTGGTGATGGTGGTGGTGATGGTGGTGATGATGGTGGTGATGATGATGATGGTGGTGGTGATGGTGATGGTGGTAGTGATGATGGTGGTGATGATGGTGGTGGTGGTGATGATGGTGGTGATGGTGGTGGTGATGGTGGTGGTGATGATGATGATGGTGGTGGTGGTGATGATGGTGGTGATGATGGTGGCGATGGTGGTGATGATGATGGTGGTGGTGATGGTGGTGGTGGTGGTGATGATGGTGATGGTGGTGATGGTGGTGGAGATGGTAGTGATGGTGATGATGGTGATGATGATGATGGTGGTGATGATGGTGGTGATGGTGGTGATGATGATGGTGGTGATGGTGGTGGTGATAGTGGTGATGATGATGGTGGTGATGGTGGTGGTGATGGTGGTGGTGATGGTGGTGGTGATGGTGGTGGTGATGGTGGTGGTGATGGTGGTGGTGATGGTGGTAGGGATGATGGTGGTGATGGTGGTGATGGTGGTGGTGGTGGTGATGGTGGTGATGATGATGGTGGTGATGGTGGTGATGATGATGGTGGTACTGGTGATGGTGGTGATGGTGGTGGTGATGGTGATGGTGGTGATGGTGGTGGTGATGGTGGTGATGGTCGTGGTGAAGATGGTGGTGGTAGTGAAGATGGTGGTGGATTCCCACTCACCCCTCACCCACTGCCCACTCACCCCCCACTCGCCCCCCACTCACCCCCCCACTCACCCCCCACTCACCCCCCACTCACCCCCCACTCACCCCCCCACTCACCCCCCACTCACCCCCCACTCACCCCCCCACTCACCCCCCACTCACCCCCCACTCGCCCCCCCACTCACCCCCCACTCACCCCCCACTCACCCCCCACTCACCCCCCCACTCACCCCCCACCCACCCCCCCACTCACCCCCCCACTCACCCCCACTCACCCCCCACTCACCCCCCCACTCGCCCCCCTCTCGCCCCCCCACTCACCCCCCCACTCACCCCGCCCCCCGTGTCGTCCCTGTGGTGGAGGTCATGACCCCGTCGCTCCGCGTTCTGGAGCTCCATCAGCTGCTGCTGCTGCACGAGCTGATGGAGCTGCAGCAGCTCCACGTCCACTGAGTGGTCATCCAGCAGAGACATCGCCACCTAGCCTGGCACACACAGACACCTAGCCTGGCACACACAGACACCTAGCCTGGCACACACACAGAGACACCTAGCCTGGCACACACACACACAGACACAGACACAGACACCTAGCCTGGCACACCCACACAGACATAGCTACCTAGACTGGCACACACACAGACATAGCTACCTAGCCTGGCACACACACACAAACATAGCTACCTAGCCTGACACACACACACACACACAGACATAGCTACCTAGCCTGGCACACACACACACAGACACCTAGCCTGGCACACACACACAGACACAGCCACCTAGCCTGGCACACACACACAGGCATAGCTACCTAGCCTGGCACACACACACAGACATAGCTACCTAGCCTGGCACACACACACAGGCATAGCTACCTAGCCTGGCACACACACACACACAGACATAGCTACCTAGCCTGGCACACACACACACAGACACCTAGCCTGGCACACACACACAGACACAGCCACCTAGCCTGGCACACACACACAGGCATAGCTACCTAGCCTGGCACACACACACAGACATAGCTACCTAGCCTGGCACACACACACAGGCATAGCTACCTAGCCTGGCACACACACACAGACATAGCTACCTAGCCTGGCACACACACACAGACATAGCTACCTAGCCTGGCACACACACACAGACATAGCTACCTAGCCTGGCACACACACAGACACAGCCACCTAGCCTGGCACACATACACACACAGACATAGCTACCTAGCCTGGCTCACACACACAGCCACCTAGCCTGGCACACACAGAGACATCGCCACCTAGCCTGGCACACACACACACAGACACCTAGCCTGGCACACACACACACAGACACCTAGCCTGGCACACACACACACACAGACATAGCCACCTAGCCTGGCACACACAGACATAGCCACCTAGCCTGGCACACACAGACACAGCTACCTAGCCTGGTACACACACACACAGACATAGCTACCTAGCCTGGCACACACACACACAGTTACCTAGCCTGGCACACACACACACAGACATAGCTACCTAGCCTGGCACACACACACAGGCATAGCTACCTAGCCTGGCACACACAGACACAGCTACCTAGCCTGGCACACACACAGACATAGCTACCTAGCCTGGCACACACACACACAGACATAGCTACCTAGCCTGGCACACACACACACAGACATAGCTACCTAGCCTGGCACACACACACACACAGACATAGCTACCTAGCCTGGCACACACAGACACAGCTACCTAGCCTGGCACACACACACAGACATAGCTACCTAGCCTGGCACACACACACAGACATAGCTACCTAGCCTGGCACACACACACACACAGACATAGCTACCTAGCCTAGAACACACACACAGACATAGCTACCTAGCCTGGCACACACACACACAAACATAGCTACCTAGCCTGGCACACACACAGACATAGCCACCTAGCCTGGCACACACACACAGACATAGCTACCTAGCCTGGCACACACACACAGACATAGCTACCTAGCCTGGCACACACACACAGACATAGCTACCTAGCCTGGCACACACACAGACATAGCTACCTAGCCTGGAACACACACACAGACATAGCTACCTAGCCTGGCACACACACACACAGACATAGCTACCTAGCCTGGAACACACACACAGACATAGCTACCTCGCCTGGCACACACACAGACATAGCCACCTAGCCTGGCACACACACAGACATAGCTACCTAGCCTGGCACACACACACACACAGACATAGCTACCTAGCCTGGCACACACACACACATAGCTACCTAGCCTGGCACACACACACACAGACATTGCTACCTAGCCTGGCACACACACACACATAGCTACCTAGCCTGGCACACACACAGACATTGCTACCTAGCCTGGCACACACACACACATAGCTACCTAGCCTGGCACACACACACACAGACATTGCTACCTAGCCTGGCACACACACACACAGACATAGCTACCTAGCCTGGCACACACACAGACACAGCTACCTAGCCTGGCACACACACACAGACATAGCTACCTAGCCTGGCACACACACACACAGACATAGCTACCTAGCCTGGAACACACACACAGACATAGCTACCTTGCCTGGCACACACACAGACATAGCCACCTAGCCTGGCACACACACAGACATAGCTACCTAGCCTGGCACACACACACACAGACATTGCTACCTAGCCTGGCACACACACACACATAGCTACCTAGCCTGGCACACACACACACAGACATTGCTACCTAGCCTGGCACACACACACACATAGCTACCTAGCCTGGCACACACACACACAGACATTGCTACCTAGCCTGGCACACACACACACAGACATAGCTACCTAGCCTGGCACACACACAGACACAGCTACCTAGCCTGGCACACACACACAGACATAGCTACCTAGCCTGGCAGACACACACACATAGCTACGTAGCCTGGCACACACACACAGACATAGCTACCTAGCC